TTTAAGAGTACCTTATGCTCAACGATATCAGCTTATGTGGAATGATCCCCACCAAAGATATATATGAGTAGATGATAAAATAAATGCAGGATAAAAAAATATAAAAAAACATAAAATGTTGAGGGTAAAAATAATATTTATTGTAATATACCACACACAATGAAATAAAAGTCCTTCTGAATAGTCACAACCAGTTTCACCAATGGGCTTTCTCAAGTGAATGTTTTCTTTTTTTTTTTGTTCTGTGTTGATTAGTTTTTTTTTATCCTGCATTTATTTTATCATACTTATTTCAATTTATATTTTAAAGCCACATGAATACATACTGCGCCATTCGGACTACAAAATCCAGACATTGTTGATGGAATTCATCAATGTAACTGATTTTCTAAATCAGGGCCAAAACAAACCTGTGTTTCGTTCAGATTTCAGCCAAGCCGAACTCCAATGGACAGTTGAAATCTGAGCTGAGTAAAATAAATCTGGGCCCGGAGGCTTCAACCTGGGCTTGGATTAAAAAAATAAAATCGGAACTATCTGTGCACTGGCAGTACTAGCAGCCAGCAAGGGAATAGTTAAAAACCTGCCATCCAGAAGATGGGGGCATATCTACTAAATGTCTAAATCTAGTGACTTTCCATTGCTGTCCAGTACCTAGAAAAGGCCCCAACCATGGACATCCTGAGATTTGAAGCATTCGTGCCAATATTTAAGCAATTCAGGTACAGATTTCAGCCTAGCATTCTGTCTGGTGAAAATCCAGACCATATTCAAGTACATACAGAGCCTTCTCTGCAAAATCCAGACATTGTTAAATAGTGAACAATGTCTGGATTTTGCATTTTGAATGACTACATATAGCACTAGATAGTTTTAATAAATTTGGTACAGGGACATTCGTTTAGTGAATTACTCTGTTAGTGTAGGAAGGATTCATTTGTGCAGGTAAACTGCAGCCATGTCACTGAGGGAAGACACTTGTAAGTGCCAAAGCACAAGCAGTGGCCCAGAAGCACACTGCAAATCAAATAACCTTTTTCTTATTAGAAATGAAATAAAATATAAATAAAAAATAAATAAAAAATACAATTCTAAATCGGTAAAACAAAGTGAGTGTGAAAGAAGTGGGTTCTAAATCAGTGAAACAAAGTGACACTGGCAGCAATATCTAGGCAACATGAACTTTTTTGTTTCCTATTTATTTATTTACTTTTTTTATTTTTAATTCAACAGATGTTGAGGGGTCTAAATGTCCTTGTCCAATTAGCTTCTCTCTGACTGTTCTTGTCCAACTGGCACAATTTTCATAGCTGATTTCATGGTTGCTTCTTGGGTGGGGCACCAAGAAGATATAATGTTTGAACTAGTTGTGGTAAAAGGAGTACAATGTCTGTAAAAATGGCAGCACAAGTTGATGCAGCATGCAAAGAATTGGGAAAAAGCAAATGCCTTATGAGAGGCCTCCAATGTTCATGTACTGGACAAGTTGCTAATCCTATTATTCTTAGGCTGAATAATACTAATAGTGTTGGTGTGAATGTGAATAAAACATAAGCTGTAAAAAAATAATTAATTAAAAAATGTATTTGTGTCTAAAACAAAAACCTGCACAAAAAAAATAAATAAAAATAAAACATAAATTACACAAAAAAATCACAAACATATACATTTCATCATGAATCCTATAGAATCCAACTTGGTCTGTCCTGAAACGAAAAACAAGTATCAGGCTCTGTATCAAAAATATATATCTCAATCCTGTATTGAATTGTGACAGAATGTCTTAATCAAAAAAAGAAGGTGTCTTATACTGGAAAGAGCAGGCAAAAAATTTATAAAAGTGAGAAAAAAAAAAGAAGGAAGGAAAAACACCCCCAAAAAAGTGCCCAAAATGAAATCACAGTAAACCCACCAAATCAATATCCTGATTTAAACCGTGATTTTACATCCTTAAGTTGTAAATCCACTGGGCTTCTTTCCTATTTAATTCCAATTGCCTATCACCACCCCTACAATGCGTTTCGGCAAGGTCAATTCCAATGGCTAAAAATGTGTTCCATGAAAATAGAGCGAATGAATTACAATGCTTGGAAACACTATGGTCGGTTTTAGTATTCTTGATGTTATAAAAATGCTCTGCCAATCTGGTGTGTAATTTACGTGTGGTTCTTCCCACATATTGGGCTGCACACCCACATTGCAATAAAATATAGCAAAAGTTGTAGAACATTGTATGACATTTTTTATACTATATGTTTTATTAGAGCTGTGTGTTTTCCTTTTCTGATATTTACATGTACAAGACCAGGATCCAGCTTCCAGTGGAGCGTAGCAGGAACAGCTCTTATAAGAGCTAGTGATTATAATTCCTGGGGAGTATAGTGATATACCCAGGATGTACCCAGGATATCCCCAGGATAGATACAGCTGTTTCCCACACACATGAGATGAGACTCTATGTTGAGGGTAAGCAGGAACAGAATTTTAATGGAGGCACACTGGCCTTTTATGCAAGTTTCCCAACAAGGGTGACACCCAGATGGACCTTGTTGGGCACAGGGACACAAAGTAAATAAACCAATAAAAACAGAGTCATACAGTGAGACACTCCCATACACAAACAATAGAATCCCTCCACTGTGCTTGGGAGATAATTGAATCAGGAACTGTTCTAATCTAACCCAATTATCTCCAAGCACAAAAAAATATAAAATTTTATGAAACCCCAAAAGCACCTTAAAAACACATAAAACCCCATTAAAGCATCCCCTGATAGCCCCAATCTGGGTGAACAACATATCCAAAAATCACCCAGATCAGTTTAGGGGTTCAGGAAGTCATAGTTTTGACTAACTGTGCACATGGTCCTATGCTCAAAACAGTTCCAGGGAAATCAGTGCTAACAATTGGTCAAGCTTGGTAGTCTTTTACAGGTTTCCCTGCAGGGCCCATAGTCCCATGGGAAAGAGGGTGGCAAGCAGGCCCCTCCAAGTACAAAAGGGGAGGTTACTTTCGCCACAGTTTCCATTCCATTTTTTCAATATCAGCTAAGATGTCTCTTGTGTCTTTGATATACGAAGGTATATCCTGAACATAAGGTTGTAAAAAGAAATCGATGTATTGGGAGAGTTTCAAAGACAGGGAACCTATACCGCTAATAATAGTATGGCCTGGGGGCTTTTTAAATCCTTGTGGATTTACGGAAGGAAAAAAAAAAATTGCTACTTTGCAATCCGTATTGAACGAAAAATTGAATTCATCCTGAGAGGTAATTTCTCTCTTTTCCCAGAAGGCAACTTGACTCCTTTAGATGTAGTTGTGTAGGGACCTTTTCTAAAATTTTGTATGTAGAGCTATCTCCCAAAATCCTATGGGCTTCCTTCATATAAAATTGCCGGCTTATGATGACTATACCCCCTTTCTTGTCTGCTTCTTTTATGACCAGGTTATGATTGTCTGCATGGGTGTCCACAGGAATTTTTCCAGGGGGGGACATAATTGTAATGACATCCATGCTTGGTCCCTTTTTGACAGTGTCATAAAATGGAAGGGGTATAGTCATTATCACATAAAGCCAGGTTGAATAGCTTTTTCACAACTATGGTGTCATGAATACATGTTTGTATTCCTGACAGTCGAGTGTTCCTTTAAGCAAATTAAAGGAACAATCTTGTCACCATAACAACTTCATCTAAATGAAAATGCTATGATACCAGGAAGCCCCTGGGATCTCTCTTTACTTTAAGGGGTTAAACCGCTCTCAAGTGGTTTAACCCCAAAGGCTTCCTCCAGCTCCAGATCTCCAGGTCGCTCAATGGTATTCGGCTTCTGAAACTGAGTGTCAGGAAGTGCAGATAGACATCAGGCATGGGTGCTTCTAACTGGCTAGAGTGGTCAGTTGACGCTCTAAGCCAATCGCTAGTTCCCGGTTAATAAAAATGTTTTACTTTTTATGAATGGGGAGCTACTGATTGGCTTAGAGTGCCAGCTGACCGCTCTAGACAATCAGTGACACCCCTACCCAGCGGCACTCTGTGCTTCCTGACACTCAGTAAATAAAAGTGAACACATTAACACTGATTTTTTTTTTTACCTGGGGAGATGAGAAGGTCCAAAGATTCCCTGCCAGGCCCAGGTACCAAAGCCTTATGATGTGGTGTCCAGTATAAAGTGGAGGGTTCACTTCACTTGTCCTTCCTGATCCAATCTCCTTTTCTTCTCCTTCATTTGACACAGTCTTCTTTTTCTTCTGATGCTGTCTTCTCTCCTCCTTGGCCCCTTCTGCTCATTTACCTTTCTGCTACTTTCTGCTTATTTTGAGCCCTTCTGCTCCTTTCTTTTTCTGATCCCTTTCTGCTCCTTGCAGACCCTTTCTGCTCCTTCTCCTACTTTACTTTTGTGCTCCTTCACCATTGTGCTCCTTATTTCCCTTTCTGCTCTTTGCAGAGCCTTCCTGCACCTTGCAGACCCTTCCTGCTCCTTGCTGCCCCTTCCTGCTAATTTCTGCTCCTTCTCCTACTTTACATTTGTGCTCCTTCTGCCCCTTCCAGCTCATTGCTGACCCTTTCTGCTCCTTGACGTCCCTTCCTACTCATTTCTGTTCCTTCTCCTACTTTACCTTTGTGCTCCTTTGGTACCTTCCTGCTCCTTGCTGCCCTTTCCAACTCCTTGCTGACCCTTTCTCCTCCTTCTACTTTACCTTTGTGCTGCTTTAACTTCTACCTCCTTGCTGACCCTTCCTGCTCCTTGCTGACCCTTCCTGTAAGCTGTCTCCCCATCCCTTGCTTACCTGATCTATAGGCTACCTCCCCCCATCCCTCACTTACCTGATCTGTAGGTGGATCGCCCCATTCTTCACTTCCCTGATATATAGGCTGCCCCCCATGCCTCACTTCCGTGATCTATAGGCTGTCCCTCCCCCATGCCTCACTTCCCTGCTTTTGTAATAAATGCAAATTTTGCATTATTTTCCCCATTGTCCTGTTTATTTGTGTTCCCAACTAACATGGAACATCTGTCCAATTAATTAATATGTTCCTCGTCTTTTTCCATCTTTATTGGATCATATCCCTTTTCCTTATAATGCTCTTTTATGTAGATGCCTGTTCCTCAAACACTTTTTTGTTTTAACAATTTATTTTCAGATGTGTCATCTGCCCTTTTGGTATATTTGTGAGCCAGGGTGGATAGTGTAAACTAGTTCCATCTATGGACGTATTACAGTCTGTGCTTTTAAATAACATCTTACTTTTTAATTGATCTTTCTCCACATAGAGAGTTAGATCCAAAAAATTGATTTGTACCCTATCAACCACAGATGTGAAATGTAAATTATAGTTATTTTTATTGATGCCCTCAATAAAAAGACTGAGGCTTTCAGACGAGCCTTCCCATAAAATTAAGACATTGTCTATGTAACGTCACAATAGGATGAGACTACACGCGCAAGCCCGGCCTAGATGAATGTTTAAATCCTCCCTATGGGATACATAAAGATTGGTGAAGCTCAGGGCAAATCTCGTTCCCATGGTGAGATGTGGGGTAAATGTGGGGGGAGATTGTGTGTGGAGGCTGTATATCTTTGTCCAGCCTCTCCACATAGTGCTGCTCACATTTATATAGTTATATAAAATTACATTTGTTACATTTACATTTACAAGTTACATTTGTGACAGTTGGAAAGCACTTGCTAGCCAGCCGTCACATTATAAAAGTTAAAAACAAGCTTATAGGGTCAATCAGATCCCATATTACTGTAAGGCAGGCTTTAAACATCCCTATGCCCACAACTGCCATAACTTGTTAAAACTAGCAACTGGGAGGTCTGTGGGAATGTGACCTGTGAAATAACAGGAAGAGTGCATTGTCCACCCCCGCTGGCCAGCAGTTGGTATTACATCATAAAATAAAATGGGCTGTCCATATAAGCCGAAATAAACATTGTCATTGTGATGGACCTGCTGGCACTCTGACCAAGTACCTCCACCAATCGACGCTCCTAGTGCTTGCCGAGGACTCCAAGCACTCCAACCGACACCATCAGCACTGCAGACTTATCCCATCCCCCAAGCATGAGCCAAGGCTTCAAGAAAGGGTCAAGCAGGTCTGTTTAATGAGCACACAAAAGCAACAGCACTCACGCAGCAAAAACAACTCCTCCTCAGAGGAAAACCAAATGACAGAGACAGAGTTTGAAAATATGACAGTTATTAAGGGTTTAAACTGGTGTTCTAAGGGGGGGGGGGGATAAAACAGTCAAACTAAGTCCATAAAACAGGGGTTTTCTTCACACTCTGCATCCGAAGTGCATAGCAAAACTGCAGATCCTTTGTCAGAGCATTTAAAGGGCCAGAACCAGTCTAATAAAATCCTCTATGCCCAAATAAGATATTTAAAGGGCAAAATCTTCCAGGGGCCATAGTCATACGGCAAGAAGCTGGTAATTAGTCCTCTCCAGGCACAAGTGGCGAAGGGCACTTCGTCACAGTCATGTTGTGCTTATTCCAATAAAAAGTCTGCGGTATGATGGAATCTGTGTGCCTGGACTCTCTATGCATTCCAAAGTTTTAAAAGGATTTGAAATACTCTGAGCCTGGAGCACCAATATGTTATTTGGATTAATTGTATTTTGTGCAGTTCGTACTGGAAACATATTTGATAAAATAAAATTGGGACACCCTTATATTTCTCCAGATCCCACCCATGGTCAGCTGGTGGCTGGTTTATAATATTCTGGTCGAAAAACCTGATGTCCCCCTGTGTTCCCACACATACATGCAGATTGAGATCTGATGGCCGGAAGAGCTCTTATAAAAGCTTTTGAAAAGAGTTGGAATCGCAGGAATGAAGAAGCAGATAAATATGAAAACATAACATTATCATTGCCTGATTTTTCAGCTTGCAGCATGAGATAACCGTCTAATTCATAGCTAAAGCTTTTAAATGAAGCAGTCATTTCAAAGTAATGCATTTCACTTTCATCTCTCTTGCTGATTTCCACACATTCCATTTCTTGTTTCTCCCTGTAACACAGGTTATAAAGAATTCAGAGTTCACCATGTCTATGCTCTTTATAAGGAAAGATAGCTAGATAGATAATTTGTGAGGAATATTTCCACGGCAAGTTTTGAGAGAAGTAAAACTTGTCTATCAGGGCCTCTGATTGGTTGGCTTACAAGAAAACTCTAATAAGAATTCAAAGTGTGGTAAAGCCTTTAGTCACTTTGAAGCCTAATTTTATGCAGGGTCCAGAGGAGTAGATGGATTTATTTTTATTGGGTTGCAGTTTGGATATTTTAGGGGGAGGGTTGAGAATAATTATGTTTTTTTGGGTTTGCTTTTTTCCCAAGAGTTGCGCAGAAGATAATGAATTTTAATTAGGCCTTCTCATGGTAAGTATATATATATATATTTTTATTTTACAGGTATTAGTTTACCTACATTACTCTACATTGTTATTAGAGTAGGGAGGGTAGGTATTGTTCATTTAATTTATGCAGCGTCATTATGGGCTTGGGGACCTGATGCCGCAATTTTTATATTTTTTTAAATTTGGGTTAACCAGTGGTGTTCGATCCGGCTGTAGTAAAGACCTCATTTATGCTCATATGGACATTGTTAAATAACGTGATTTTTTGCTGTCCAAATGGCCCTAAATGAAGTCAGATGAGTTGACCCTGTTTTGTACAGGGCCAATTGGACTTTCATGAATAATCCTGCTAACGAAATATCTGTGTGAGGAGAATCCCTTTTCAAAAATGTAAATTTATAAACATGACATAATGTGGTAATATTAAACTGAACATTTCTATTTAAATTTTATTGCTGTCAAAGATGAAAAATGTTATACATACGAGGGGATTTAGAAATTATTTACAAGCTGACTTGAATGTTTACATGTCTCGAAGATCATTAAAACAGTTTATTGGACTACAAACTACTGGTTACATGTCAGAAGCTGGCCTAACAAAAGATATACATCATATAAATCCCTTATTAGCATCAGCTACATTTATCTGCACTGTAACTGCGCAAACAGCTTATGCTTCTTGTCATGTTGAAAGTGTTTGATTGCTAAAGCTCAAACATTTGCTTTAAAATTTTGAAATGTATCGCTACTCAGCAACAGAGAGTGTTTTATCTATGACTACCAAAGTAGTAGATGGTCAATCAATGAACACATGTTTGATCTGACAGTGCCTGTGAAATCATTACATTTCTAATAAAGTTCAAGGGACACTATATAGTCACCAGAACAACTACAGCTTATTGAATTTGTTCTGGTGAGTAGAATCATTACCTTCAGGCTTTTTGCTGTAAACACGGTCTTTTCAGAGAAAATGCAGTGTTTACATTACAGCCTAGGGATAACTTCACTGGCCACTCCTCAGATAGCTGTTAGAGATCCTTCCTGGGCCATAGCTGCCTAAAATGCATCCAAACATTCAGTGTCTCCTCCCTATGCATGCAGTGGTGTGTGTATGGAAGTACAGAGTCACCGGTAAAGTAAATAAATCCTTTTTTCTCTTTTTATTCATACAGGTGAAAAGGGAACGGGGACTGAATCTGACTATGCCTAGGACACAATAAACTTAGCATTTGCATGTCTAGGACACAATAACGTTAGGATTTGCATGCCTAGGACAAAAGAATTTTAGGATTTGTGTCTCTTTAAGTGGGTGAAGTGCATGGGGATATTGAAAAGGTCATTCTTTAACTTATTGTGCCTCAATCACACAGCCTTACTCCAGTCCCACTCCCTCCCTGGTATTTTGGCTCCCACTTAACGGATGAGCTGCATGGGTAGATTACTGGCTCAGATCCCCAAATACTATTTTTTCCCTATTCCACAAATTACAGAATCAGGATATGGAGAATGTTAACAGTACATCAACTCACTCACAGCCATTTTTAGCACTTTATCTGCCAGCTGATTGAGGGGTGTAGAGATACCTTTGCCATGTCCCCCTATTTTAAACTATTTACCTCAATTCTATAGCCCTGGGATGGAGGTAGGGAGTGTATGTGCTGTCACTCTTCTATTTAAATACTCACTGGCCAGTGAGGGGCCTAGGTGGGATTTTATTTTTGTATTATTTATCTTAAAGCTCATGTAAAGGGGGTTAGGCTAAGATGGTCTGTGAAACTATTCACCCACTGCTTCATTTATACAATTCATTTCAAGCACCCTTTTTGAAATTTTACAATTTAGGAATAACATATTGCATGAAAGACTTTCATTATTATTCAGTTCATTTTTACATTAATTTAGGACAAATGGTAAAATTAGGTTTTAGTGTTGACCAAATTTAATGCTCAGATCTTGTATTTTGTACCCTTTTTATATATATATCTTTTTACAATACCATTTCTTGTGTCATTTTAATTAGTGGTGGATATAACATTTCAGTTTGGTTTTTAATAATATTCTGCTATTTGTTATGTCAGAGGCATTGCACACAGTTTGATATTATCTATGAAGAGCAGACCAACTGATGTTGGGAGATCAGAAACTTTATATGCAAGATTAAACACAACAGGAATGGCCCCTTTTCAACATACAACAGTATTTAGAGTAATACAGCAGTATTTCATTTAGTACCAGATCAACATGCAGATAATCGTATCCAGCAGCTTGACATTCTTTTCAGAACAATGCTTTGTTGTATATAAACAGTGAGCAGAAGCCAGCTAACTAGTACATATTGCCAAACAAACAAAATATTTCTACTCGTGGATATTCAAATTCAAAATTGTATTAATTTATTGCAATTTTATTAAAAGTTATAATATTTAAAATAAATATAATAATAACCTCAATCAAATAATAAAAAATAAAATATAAAGAAATTAGAAATTATTTCACACATGACCAAGCCTTACACATTTAGTGCCTATATCACCTTTTCACAGGCAATTGTATGCATAAGATGAATAAGGTGGTTTGAGCGAGTGCTTATTTTAAATGTTTTTTAATACATTTTTAAACACATTTAAATTGGTTTTCCATGAGTGGAGATGTTTTCTTCCTTTGGCAAAATACACCCATGAGCAGCTTTCTGCTTGTTGTTTGTTTGGACACCAGGGATCTAGCCATCCTTTCTGTGGTGAGCCCTGATTTAGGCCTACTATCATCTAGTTATTACAAATTTATAGTGGATGCAGCCCTGCATATAAAGTTTGTGCTCTCTATTCCCATTTTATTAATAGGTC